CATCCCCTATATTACCAACCTTGAAAGTGGAATAGTCCAAATTTGACCACTTCAATGGGACCACTACTCAGGAACCCCTTTCCAACAACAAAATAATCATCGAAATCTATTAAAAAATATACCTTTTCCTTTTTTTGAAATCGGTTAAAAATAGAATTTCTAAATTTTTAAGTCTTTAAAAATATATATAGTTCTACACAGGTTTCATTGTTAAGCATTCGTACCCAAAAATGACATATTTTAAAATAAAATAAACCATTTTTACTATCACATGTTTAGCACGTGTTCTTAAGTTTTCAAAGGAATTTATATGAAAAAAGCTTTCACGTCCAAAAAGTGTAGATGATCGTGCTACATATATTATGACGTAATGCAAATTTCTGTTTCCGTTTTACCCACAAACAATGGCTGCTATAATTATAAAACTGCCTTTAATTACGTCGGTGCATTTTCGTAAGTAGCCAGGCAGCTAAATAATAAATATCATACATAGTGACGGGAAATCCCGGCAGAGATTGAGATTGAAATATAGATAATAAAGGACAAAAATGAATATTAATAACTGTCAATTACAATAGAGTATTTGCTGAAGTGATCACAGCACAACGTATAGTTTTGAAAACAAGTAAGAAAGTCATTTTAGTCATGACATCATCAGGGTCCCGAATCTTCTATTTTCAAATCAATTTTTTTTGTAATACCACGTGACGGGACGAACAAATCGTGCGCCTGATGGTAAGCGATACGTCTGTCCATAATAATTGCAGTACATCCTGAGACATAAGTTGACAAATCCCATGTGCCAGTAATTTTACCAGCACCCTTACCCTCCTTCGAAACTGGAACGCAGTAATGGTCACATTACTGCTTGGCGGCAGAAATAGGTAAGGTGGCAGTACTTCCCTGGACGAACTTTTTTCCAATGAGCTCTTCTGCTACTAAAGTCATCTCAGTTGTTTGTCGATTAATTTGTCCCTATCTACCGACCCGAGAGATAGGGTTTTCCGGAGAGACTACAGCCTCGACGCCAAGACCAGGGTACAGCGGACGTCCGGGCCAAGCCCTCCGCCAGTGATACGCCTTTGACGCCCGACTCTGGCGGACCCGGACTTGGGTATGGACTCGCTAGGGTTTGTGGTTGGCTGCAGAGGCGGACATGTTTAGCTGCCCCGGTCGCATGTGTCCGGGGCGTCTGTCTCGTGAGCAGCTAGCGGGTCTCAGTATCAGTCTAGTCAAGGACCTGAAGCGAGGAGACGCGCGGGCCACGTGAGTAGCGCTTTAAATTGCAAGCTATGTCCGACATTGTCGCAGGACACTGCGACTGGCATCTCCGGCACTAGCCCGGTGAGCTCGTAGAGGATAAGATATCTCCGGTCCCTCCAGCCGTTTAGGTTATTGGGAACTGGAGAAGCGTCGTTTTTCGGCGTCGGGAAGTGAACGTGCCTTACAGCTCCGCCACCAATGAGGAGATTTGGTAGTGAACTCAGAGTCGTCGGCTAAGCGGTGACAGCCGCTAGTGACCGCACAACAGGAAGTGAGCGTGCCTGCATCTCTGGTACCTATCTGGAAAATAGGGAGGATACTGTACGTGCACCAGGGGCGGCTGACCTGAGGCACTAGCCTCTCGAAAAACCACATGAAGTCAAGTGACGGAGGTCTGTGACAACCCTGTACACTTTCTGCTCTGGGGTCAGAATCTGAACTTGTAAGGTTCCTGTGCGCGCACAGGCCATAGTGCCCTTCTCGTATGCCCTAAGGGTCAGTAGGGAGGGTCACTATAATCAAAACTAACGTAGAAACATATGGAGCTTGTCGATTAAATTAGGTAAAAATTTTCTCGAATTTTTCCTCAAAATTCCCTCCGAAAGAAACTTTTTTGTTAAGGTACAAATTATAAGAAACCCGAATCACGGGATTATTTGTCACATTATGTACAGGTATTATAACTTGGAATTTACTATCGCAAATATTCTTATGGTATTCCATACCAATGTACGCGTTCACGTCGTTCACACTCTGAAACTGTTCATACGTTTTGGATTTAAAATATGAACTGATCGTGTTATGACATGGCCTTCGATTTAGCATCGTATTTCTCTTTTTATATTACATTTGTTTTTGTATCAACTTTTCCACAAACAACAGGTTTCTACGGGCTCGCCTTGAAACTTTGTGAATAGCTACATTTTAGTTTAAATCTTAACAATTTAGACATGTACTTTATTAGGTCTTAATCATTTAGAATAGATATGAGTAGTGCCCCGGAGTGAATCCCATTGCTTTATCTCATCATAACGCAGGGAATTTCCAAGTTCGAGATCAGGTAATTAATTAGTGTCGTTGCCTGGTACATTAAAAAATAAAAGGTTCACAACTCGCAATATGTTAGTGTAACGGACAATGGCCTAAACCTACTTCTTAGTGCAGACCAATTAATGTACGTACTAAGGGTTTTGATGATAATAGATTTATAGAAAGCTACTGCATAACATCGACTCAATCTATAAATATGTTAATGCGTAATATGTTAGTCCATGATACAGTACTGTTAGTTAGGTAAATGAATATTGTAAATGATAAACGTGTGGAAATATTTATTTACAACCCCTAGAGTTTCTTGCTCATTCTTCTCAGGGGGAATCTGCTTTTCGAATGAGCAGTAGAGCTTAACAATGTGAATATTTCAAGTATATGCTTACGTATGAAATAAAGATTTGGATAATCAAAACTTCAATGGATTTATAACACAAATTGATGTAATTATTTGCGCTTTATGGTCATGTTTGGTGAACCCAAATTGTTATTACTAGGTTTTCTCCGTTTACTATGTTTAAAACCTATAAAATTGTGGTATTATTTTGAATTTTACTAATACTCTAAGCATTTCTAGAGATTGAGTACAAGTTTAAATGTATAAGTTTTCATTCCACTTACTCATTAATACGTCATCATCTGTTTCTTGTGGAGGGCTAAAAATTTCTATTATTATCAAGATTTTAGATTTTTGCGATTATTACGTATTGGAAATGAAATTATCTAGTATTTGTTTCTTTAAACAAACCAATGTTTCGAGCTCTTTACAGGTCAAATGGTCACGGTTGACTGTCAGCGTTGATTTGTTTGTTGCTACCAAAAAAATGAAAAGAATGAGATGGAGTTAAGGTTCAAAGCTTTTTCTATTTATTTTATGAAAAGTAGACTGTTTCATTTAAGTTTTAAATCCTATTCCAAGCTCGGTATTCTAATTTTAAATCCTGCATTTCACTCGGAATTCAATTCACATGTTTCGCAGTAAGCATTCTATTTTGGTCTTTAGTGACATAATGCCATATTCTATTAGTAAAAGCCAATTGTTGTTTGATTGTTTTAGTTTCAATACCACGAGCATCGCTAATAATTTAAAATGTTTTGTGTATTTCTGCTAAAATAATGTACATTTCGTACGAAACGTTAAATACCACGCAATTTGTTTTTAGAATCGTACAGCGGAACGTGTTAATTTTCGAAAGACTTTGTAATATATTAAGTAACTATTATGCTGCTTTCGTTATCATAACTAACGTAATCGACATTTTTTAGTGAAATTGGGTTATTAACGTATCTGGGATCAGCAGAACAAGATCTACAATCCCATCTAGTCGTTTTTCTTTATATCTAACTTAGTTTCAGTTTTATTGTTAAGCAAAATCAATGTAATTAAATTTTTTTACAATATCAATGTGCCAATATCTCGAAAGTTACTGAAATGCAAATGCGTTAGTTATGATATGACAAAGAGGGCAGAATGCGTACTTGTTTCTTTGTAATATCATAATGGCATTTTTTTATTTCCTTAATACTATTATTACAAGGGGTCGTAATCAACCCCAGTACCACAAAACTTAGTGTTTGCTGAGCTGATATTAGATTGATTTTAAATGAATTATTAAATAATTTCTATTTTTACAAATTATATGTAATTGTGATATTATTTAAAGTACGTATAATAGGTAACACAAACACTACAAACTTAACTTTTTGGTTCCCAGGCGTAATTTTAGGGTTAACAAAATATTTGACATACGTGTAGTCTCTATCAATTACAGAAAGAATAAGTTTCTTGGTTGCAAGCTTGCACCAATATCAATAACCTGGTCAACAGAGTACATATTGATATCTTCAACATAAGAGTTGTCACAACGAGAGGGTCACTCAGCGATTTTTTGCTTAATTCTAAGGAAAATTGTTTTTTCATCTTCAATTTGTGACTGTAAAATTATCAAAATTTCTTCGATCTCTGTTTTCTCTCTCTACATTGCTTACATGTTCATGTTGTTATATCTAAAAGTGTAAACTAAAGTGACCTACTTTACTGTTTATTCTAGTTATATATGTATATAGTTGTACTGCCTCCGTGGCCGAACGGTTACCATGCCCGACTGCCACGCAGAGGTCCCAGGTTCGTTTCCCGGGCCGGGAGAAATATTTGTATAGCCTACATTTATTTATCTCGTGAATTTGGATGTAATTTGTGGTTGTCTATGTGTGTTCATGGCACCCGCGACACTGGGTGTCCCTGGTGCGGGGCTATGTTGCGTTTGTGCGTTATTATTATTATTACATAATTTATAATTTAAAATTACTTTACCGTGCATAAATAAAATAAACACACTTAACATGTTTGTTAATGAAAAGTATTTAAAAAATATATTGGACAATATTCACCATACTTGGACAATATATTGGACAATATACACCATACAAAACAATTTGGTTGAATCCCGATGGTATTTTTCTTAAAATAATATATTGTGGTTTCCGGTCGGTTGAGCAGTCTCGTTGATGTCTTTCTTAAGGAATTGAAGTTCCTTACGACCGGTTTTGTTTTCCGAGGTGATGGATGTTTTTGGTCAAGGAGACAATGATTAAAATAAAAAAAAAATTGTTGATAAATATGTTGCTGTTTGCCGTAAGGGTAACATATCCCTTTAAAAACTCTGTAATTAAAGATTAAAACCAACCTGTTTTGCAGCAAAACAAAATTCACACTGGCACAAAATCCTCAAAAAGTTCGTTCGCACTTGCACTTTTATTTATTAAAAAATAAAAAATTCAAATAGAAAACGGTTAACGTTCCGGATTCGAAATTTGAAGCGACGTGGACCGCGGTGCGCGCGCGAGTGGCGAGGGTCACGTGCGGCATGCGACCGGCGCGGGCGACAGGCAGTGTGGTGGCGCGGGCGGTGGCGGACACCTGCTAGTTTGCCGAATCAAAAAGGTACCTGCACCCCCGTAAAGTACAATCCTATGCATTAATTTAAATTCTGTAACCGATATCTTCAAAACCTGTCGATACATTTGTATAAAGTTTTTCAGCCTGTATATTTTTATGCTAACGATATAAAAAAGCTCATACTCTCATTATTACTTTACTTGTAGAAAAATATAACCCCACGTACTATATTAAAAATAAATTGCGGTATAGTAGGTACAGATGAGCACATCAAACTTGACATGTTGAAGTTTGGACCGTTCTTATTGTAAGGAGTGTAGAGTTGAATTTAGATCTTACCCTTACAACCACCCTAACAATTTCTACTGGTAACTAACACCGTTATATTCCTAATTCAAGGGTACGGAAGGCTTAAAATCTCATGTCCCACGGTCGGTAATGCATTTGCAGACGGTATTTTAGACTTTATAGACGGTAACCAGTATCTATTAAGTGGACCTTCTCACAGCATTCCGATTGTATACATTAAATAAAGAAATTTGTACTCTATTACATTCGTTGATGGTGTCAAATTGTCCCTGAATTGCTCGTTTAAGAAGCGATTATTGTGTCATTGATCTTTGATAACTAAACCCGTGTAATTCAACAACGATAGCTTTTTATAAACTTTCTTGCTAATAAAAAAAAACATACATATATTATTATTGCACGTCACTGTACTTTTGACAACGCATCTTTTGCAACTGTTGCTTCGATATATTATCGAAGCAACAGTTGCAACCTGTTTCAATGCAGTAAAGACCTTTTACTTTAACTTAAGGAGGGTAGCTACGAAGACGATGCAGTGTGTGTGAATAATGGACATCCTGTGCCTATTGCTTATAACCTTCCTTTGTTTTACTCCATCGTAAATGTTTTTTGAGTTGCTCTGTTTAAATGAATATTGATGAAATAATATCCTTATGACTCACTGTTACGAAGGTTTGTGTGTTTTGTTTTTGTAGTATATGTAGGTACTAATGATATTCTCGTGTACACGTGCTTTCGAGTCCTGTCAGGTCAATTGAAAAAAAAAAAAGTTTTATATTGGTATATTGCATACAAATATAAAACTTTTTTTTTTTGCAAGAAGACGTCGGTTTCAATCCGGCCGGATCGAAGGAATTTTTTCTGAGTGTTCGATCTTTGTATTCATAATTATAATAAACTAGTGGAGTAATATCCCATAAAAAATAATTGAATATCAATTCAATAAAAATTTAAAAAGTTTTATATCCAATGTGTAGCAATCTCGAAAACCCAAAAACCCAATAACGTAACGTAAATCTTGTGCTTGACAATGTTACATTAAGGCTACATGTGGTTAATGGGAGATTGTACTTTTTAAAAAAAATAGCAAGTGTCGGGATGAACAAGTCGTGTTTCTGGTGATAAGCGACATGCCTGTCTATAACAGTTGCAGTGCCATCTAGAGCTTTACATTGCAAAGATCTGAGGGGCACTGCCACTGTGCCCGTCACCCTGAGACATAAGTTGACAAGTCCCACGTGCCAGCAATTTTACCTTTCAAAACCATACCGCAGTAAACCTCATATCACTGCTTGGCGGCAGAAATAGGTAAGGTAGTAGTACTTCCTTGGACGAACTCTTTCACAAGGAGCTTACTACTACTTATCCCTGTCATAGTTCTCTATCAGAGGCGAATTCCTCTATGGAGTAGTTGTTCTAAGAGTTAATAATTCCTTTTATTTTTTTTAAGTTGTAAGTACATATATTGTCAGTTTCAAATATATTTCTTTTTTTATGATTCCAAGTTACTGTCCATCGTGAGGAAAAGGTGTGTATCTGCCTTAAGGCGCCTCCGCGGTGGCCCCAAGAGCATCTTGTGTGTGTTCACAGATCGGTGGGACTCGCCACTTCTGCGTAGATGGATTGAGCTCCACACGTATTTAGTCCTCCACGTCATTTAGTTGTATTGTCCGTTTAAATTATATAAAATTAATTAATACTGACACTGGATCTTAAGTGATTTTGTTTATAACACTATATGAATTTTTATCTGAAATAACTAAAAGTGAATTTGAATAGCAATTGGAATGCCATTTAGAGATTTAAATCGCAGTCAGTCACTGTCCGTACACTCTGTCATCCTTAGACATAAGTTAACAAGTCCCATGTGCCTGTAATTTCACCTTTACCCTTCAAAACTGGAACGCAACAATGCACATTACCGCTTGGCGGCTGAAATAGGTAAGGTGGCAGTACTTTCTGAGAAAATCTTTCAGAAGGAGCTCAAAATGAAGTTGCTATTTTTTGTGTGGCAAGGAGTACTTATGTTTAACTGTGAACGATAAATATACTCATGATGAATATATTTACGCGAATGCATAAAAAAAGGTAAGATTATGATAACAACCTTCATAATATATACTAGTGCCTTTGTCACGAGTTTACTGTGACAGTTATCGCTATCTACCGCGTAAATGACTCCACAATTTTGTATAGCTAATTACACAGTGCCTCTAGCGGTCACAAGAAGAAACAACATTTTGTACACAAATATTTTACGCAGTCGCTAGCGATAATTGTCAATGTAATCTCAGTTGTAGAGGCACTGAACGTTTAATCAAAATTAAAAGACGATTGAAGTAATTCTTTTTTTTTCCAAACATGCTCGGAAATGTTTACATTACTTTCAAAAAACGAACACGACAAGTTAGTCATTTATGGACACTGAGACTTCTTCCCGGCCAAGGCCTGCAAAGTAAATATGCAAATCCATTACAGTCCACTTGGTAATGGAAAAGCTCATACAGCCAACTGTCCGTCCAGTGTTAGTAATTGCGACAATGAAAAATACCTACGTGTAACGCTACTTAAAAAAAGGCGGTAAAATAAACTAAAGTGCTTTGGTACCTAATTCTTTTCTGTTTTTTCGTCTTTTTTGTATTTTCGCCGTAAAAATGAGTGAGACGAACGGTAACGAAAATACAGAAATGAATTGTACTCCTCCTAATTTATAACGAGGCAATATTAGCGATGGAAAACTTGTTGCCGGCTATGAGCAAAGTAAGATACTTAAAAACGTTTTCAGAGACTGTGTTTGTAGCTTATTTTAGCGAACTTGCTAAAACTCAAAAGCCATTAATTTACAAAACTAAAAAATCAAAAATATTTACTGCAGAGAACATATTGAAATTTTTAAACAAGGCTCCAGGTGACAATTTCGTAGTAACTAAGGTAAGGTTTGTTCGTATATATGTATATCGTAATGTGTAATATTGAAAGATTTTAGTTTCGATACAGTAAATAAGTATAACAAACGTTTGTTTGTTTCAGGTTGCTCTAATTTTAGGGATAAACGGTGCATGCAGGAGTATAGAGCTCGCGAATATCACCACAAAGAACATAAAAAATCACAATATATTTGTAAAATATTATTAGTTTTTTATTATACATCTTCCTCTCTCTAGTCTTTTATTATTTCCTCGAATTGTTTGAGAAAAGCACTACACACGCCTTGGCCGGAACACTCATATGGCTTGACTCGTATTAATACAAAGCCTCGCTGGCGCTCGGCCTTGTGACGCACTCGTCCAGCAATCCCTTACTTCCCGGCCTCTGCAGTAATGTACTATTAACGTTATGTGGCCGTAGCGTGGCAGTATATCACATGCTATGTGTAATAAACCTCCCCGTGACATATTTATTTCAGTTGATGAATACTGAATCGTAAGAAACCACACTTTCTTATGTTTATTTGATAATGAACTATTTTCATACATTTTGTAGAACAAGGTTAACGATATGAAATGGCGTATAACTTTGTCTTTTAATCATACATACAAAAAATGTGTACTTTCAGTTTTTACATATTTTATTATATTAGTCACTACTTATTTGTGTATTTCTAATTAGTGTCATGTATTGAACTGCATTAACAGTGTTCTCCTCACCTTTATCTAATAATTTATATATAGCAATTTGTTGGTTTTTATTATTTCTTTTCATCTCGTTTATCACGCTCAAAGTTTACGTTGATAAAATACTGTGCAGAACTGTCAAAATATTCTAAAATTAGCTTTGACCTTGCGGCCATGTTTGGCACTGCGATATTCTTTTGCTGCTATTGATCGAGGCGCTCGTGGTGCGACAAAAATTTGACATCACGGTGCTCGCCATGTTAGCTATTGTGATAAAATTTTAAAATGTCTGTTTTATCGCTCGAATTTGACAGCTAAATGTGGCTATAATAGCTTTATCGTGGCAGCATGCTACGTGGGCTGGTATATGTGGCAAGTGATTCATATGAACATTGTTATCATAATTCAACTTTTTTATCGTTTCTCTAAATATGTCTACGAGTGCAGATAAATGACGGTTCCTTAGTTCAATTAATCCTCTCTAACGTCATACTTAAATATGGCAATCCTTTCAAATGACATTCCGTATAGTAAATACAATCAGAACGGTTCAAGTCAAGGCCAACTTGAGGTAAAAGCTTCGTTTTTGTTCTAGCTGATTTTGAATTGGTGACACGTTATAGTTGCTTTATTTAAGTACATGTTCAAACCAAATGAGATTCGAATGTCAATGAAACTTCAAAGAAAAGGAAATGCCATATTTGTTGCCTTTGCCTTGTGTTTTGTTTTTCAAATGTCTGTAAATAGATAAACGTTAATGTTAGCGAAAGCTATATAAACAATAGTGGGCGTCCAGCGGCGAGATGGGCGAATGACATCGCAGGAATTAGGGGCGAACCTGGATGAGATTAGCACGGGATCGTGGGGAGTGGCACAGAAATTTGGAGGCCTATGCAGTGGGTGAAGTCAGGCTGTATATGATCATAATGATGATGAAACAAATTAAGTTATCGATTTGACTTAGGTATAGTCAATTAAAGAACAAAATGGCGACACTAAATGATACTGGTGGGATTAAAAAAAAGAAAGGAGAACAGAATAGCGAGGGAGAGAATGGGGAAATA